CTGTCCATCATCCACACTGAGGGGCCTCGGTCACAGGTGCTTATCACACACCCCGCCCTCCGCATCTGATGTGGAATTAAAACAGAATACCCCCTCCTTCCCTCCCTCTCACGGTACGGTGTAGATTTTACAAGGAAGGCAGACTTTTTCCAAAGTAAAGCTTTCAGGAGCTTTCTGAGGACGAGTGTTTTCTAGCCTGGAGCCGGGAAGCTGATCTGTCATCAAAAAGGGAGACGTCACAGATCCACATCGCAGGGCGAGGAGAAGGGTGGGGAGCACGTGGCTTTGAACTTAGGGGGGATCATAACGGGGAGGGGCAGGCAGTCCGGCCTCTTTTTTAAAAAATATATTTTTATTTTATTATTTTTTTAAAATATATTTTATTGATTTTTTACAGAGAAGAAGGGAGAGGGATAGAGAGTTAGAAACATCGATGAGAGAGAGACATCGATCAGCTGCCTCCTGCACATCTCCCACTGGGGATGTGCCCGCAACCCAGGTACATGCCCTTGGCTGGAATCGAACCTGGGACCTTTCAGTCCGCAGGCCGACACTCTATCCACTGAGCAACACCGGTTTTGGCTAATAACTAACTTTAGAGGAAAATAGAGTGAGGAAGGGTTTGCTCCAGGTTCGCGCTGTCCTTTGCCATCCCTGCCACCTGTCACGCTCCCGTTCCCAAAGCCTCTCGGGGAGCCCTGAAGGCGACGTTGTAATTACCCGTCGTTGATCTGGCATTTTCTGCCTGTTTCTGGTTCCCCTGTCGTTAGGCTCAGCAGTAACACGGTGGTTGGGATCTGGCTTCTCCCTCCGCGGCACTTTCCCCACTGGTATCCGACACCATGTCATTTACAATCAAGAGCTTTTCAGAGGAAGTGCTTCCAAAATACAGGGAAAATAAAGCGGCAGGCATTTCCCAGGAGGAAACCTTTGCAGTCAGCAATCGCATCACTTCTCTCTCTGCACCTTCCCTTCTGAGAAAAGGCGCTAATAACCAGCACAGAGAGAGACGTGTTCCCAGCGGGCTGTTCCCCGCGTGTGCCAGCCCTGCCTCAGGATGAGCTGCTCAACACCCAGATCCCGCCGAGGGGCGGCCGAAGGTCACGCAGGGCGAGGGGCACGTGGTGACAACAGCGAAGGATCCATTTCCCACGTGCAGCTTCCCACCTGCTGGCTGTGATCATGGTGAAAATTGGGCCAAAAAATAATTAGAGCTCCCAAAGCTCTCTCCTCCCGGGCCCTTACTATTATTAGTGAGGCCCGGTGCACGGACTCGTGCACGGGTGGGGTCCCTCGGGGTGGCCTGCAGGGATCGGGCCGAAACCCGCAGTCCAATACTGCCTGCAGTTCCTACCTGGCACTCCTGTTCATTGTGGCCCCACTGTGCCTGCCACGGGCTCGCGACCCATCAGTCCCTTTAGGGAGAGGCCCCCCGCCAGCCTGGACCCCTGAGTCTGGCGCCCTCCCAAGGGGAGTGGCCTGCGGGATCGAGCTGAATCTGGCTCTCCGACATCCCCGGGGGTCCCGGATTGCGAGAGGGCGCAGGCCAGGCCGAGGGACCCCACAGGTGCACGATCCGGCCTGGGAGGGGCCGTGGGAGGGCTCCAGGGCGTGTCTGGCCCATCTCGCTCAGTCCTGATCAGCTGGACCCCAGCAGCAAGCTAACCTACCGGTCAGAGCGTCTGCCCCCTGGTGGTCAGTGCATGTCATAGCGAGCGGTTGAGTATCCTTAGCATATCATTAGCATATTACGCTTTGATTGGTTGTTCAGTTCTGCCGTCCGGTCTATTTGCATATTACCCTTTTATTATGTAGGATTCTTTTTTTATCCAAGCCAACAGCCAGCTGGCCTTTGGGTGCCTTCCTTCCTGAACATTGGAAAGGGGCATCAGATCCCCCGGCAGCCAGGTGCATTCTGGGTGAGCCCATTAGGAAGGAAAGGCCTTGGTCTCCCAGCTCTGAGCGGGCTCTGCCCTGCAGCCTCCAGGGGCCCCTCTGTCTGTGGCTCAGCCTTCGGGGTCACCTTGTCGGTGGGTCACTCGCTCAGGGAATTCCCAGGAGCCTGTTGGGGTCAGTGGTGACTCCGCTTCAAGGTGTCGGCCACTGAGCTGGCCGGCCAGCTCTTCCTGTCTGTGGCCATGCCTCCAGGCCTGACTGCTCAGTGTTTAAACCTTATTCTTGAACTAGAGGCCCGATGCACGAAATTCGTGAGAGGCTCGGCCCTCGCAGCCTGGCTTTGTCCGGAAGGTCATCCGGAAGGTTGTCCGGCCATCTGGCCGAATTAGCATATTACGCGTCTATTATTATAGATGGGCCTCTGGGAGGAAAGCAGACTTGCCTGACCCAGCACATGCCGTGGCCTCCTCCCCCCAGGTCATTCCCAGCGACCCCTTCTGGGTGCCGACGACGGAGGAGGAGTACCTGCACTTCGGGGAGAAGGCCGACTCAGAGAACCAGGCCCGCAAGTACATGAACGCGGTGCGCAGGCGCAAGGGCCTCCCCGTGGAGGAGAAGATCGTGGAGCACGCGGAGAAGCAGCGGACCCTCAGCAAGAACAAGTAGCCCCGGGCGGCCTGTCCCCAATAAACGCACGGGGGCCGGGGCTGCCCGGGAAACCGCTTCCTCTGCGTCCTCTGTGTGCGCTCGCTGCCGGCACGTAGCCAGGCCACAGGGAGAGGGGGTCAGAGTTCACTTCCTACGGGTTCTCATTGATCAGGTGCAAGGCAGACGGGGACACAGTGTCCGGGGACTTACTCCCACCTGCGCCCCCGCCTGTCACCGCCTCACACTCCCCTCACGTCGTAGACACGTCCCATAGCTCAGCGCCCAGTGTTGTCTGGAGAGACCCACTTTTTCTTTTTTTTAATGTATTGTTATTGATTTCAGGGAGGGAGGGAGAAACATCCATGATGAGAGAGAATCATGGATCGGCTGCCTCCTGCACGCCCCCCACTGGGGATCGAGCCTGCAACCCGGGCCTGTGCCCTTGACCAGAATCAATCCCGGGTCCCTTCGGTCTGCAGGCTGACGCCCTATCCACTGAGCCACACCAGCCAGGGTGCTTTATTTAGACCTGGACTGGTCACTGTTATAGCCAATCCACCTTAAGGTTCATTTGTCTAGAAAACAACGCAACGTTCACTGGTTAGCCTGTAAACCCATTTTTATGTTCCCTCACAAATCGCATCACTCGTATTTACAAACGTGTTCGGGAAAGTTGGGCTCCATACCTTTTTCTTTAAAAGAAAAAAAAAGTAGATTTTTATATCGTTCTGGGCCGTTTCTTCTTAGCCCTGCTCTAGCTAACGTGGCAAGATTATTGCCTTGATGATAAACCTTTTTCGGAAACCTGTTGCCTCGCTCTGAGAGATTTCCATAGACAAACAGATGCAATTTAGTGAAAAATGGATTTTGTAATTTTTGATGTTGCACTGATAGTTTGTATAGCCACTTAAAGAGAGGATTCTTTTTCAAAACACATAAGATGATCAGACCAGACCTTGTTTTTGAAATGTTTTTACTGATTTTTAAAAAATAAACTAGATCATTCTTAATACTAGTTGTAGATATTTTAAC